TCATGTGAGGGGTCACATTTTTCAGCTGGAATTGGGTTATAAGTGTACCTTTTAAACATGTGCTTTTTAGCTCTTGACCCAATCCCTCCTGCACTTTAACTAAATGTTTAGTCACTCATCCACCCACCCACCCCCATTTACTTGCCGGTTTTACAGCATGTGAAGAAAGGGCCTCACATCTCCCCTACTACGACTGTCACCTGAAGCAGATGCCTAACCCAGCTTCCTATTGGGCTGGTCTGGTTCTGAGGCAGGGTGACATGAAAGGAAAGATTTGGGGACCTGGTTAAAATAAAATCTAGGCCAGGCATCGGCTGACTTTGGCCTTCCCTCCAGGTGTTTTGGGCTGCAACTCCCACAATTCCTAACAGCTGGTAGGAGTTAGAAGTCCAGAACACCAGGAGGGAGGACCAAAGTTGGACCATGCCTAATCTTGGCAGAGAGAGAATAAAAGGGACAAAATCCTCCCAAGCAAGTTGGATAGTCAAGGAGGCTGGGGAATCTTCAAAAGCGTCTCCAAAACTATTGTATATATACTTGTGTATAAATCAACCTTGTGTCTAAGTCAAGGGCAGCTTTGGAGGTCAGCATTATGGATACTGATATAGCCCATTGATAGGTTCAGGGTCATTCTATGGAGAGGGGAAAGGAAGCACCAGCATGGCCCCACAGCCAGCACCATTTCCCCACCCAGCTATTCATACAGGCCAGAAACAGCACCACACTAGAGAAAAAGCAAAGGGCATCTGTGTTTCTTTGGGGTCTTCCCAGGACAGACCATGTTTCTGCCTCTTAAGTCATTCAACTCAGAGAAGGGAATAGAATTCAGGTATAGTGCTACTTGCATTGGCCCATGGAGAAGTCCACCCAGGTTTTTTGGATTGATTTTTGTGTGTGGCTAAAACCTTCTTTGGAAATATTATTTTTGGGATTGCAAGTGGTGGAAATCCCATTCTGCAATATGTGAATTCTGTCCTCATTAGTTGGGGGGTTTTGAAGAAGGAGTGGGGATGCAAACCCTTATGCAAAGAGTGACTGGATGCTAAAACAGGTTTAAGAAGTCTGAGGCAGAAAACAGATACAGAGGTGGATAGAATAATATTGGCTAAATCCTGACCCTGCTTCAGGCTACTTAGAAGGGACAGCACACACTGAATTCCTCTGGGATCACCTTGACCAGGTGGGATAAACTGCTTAAAGATAAGGTTCTTTTTTAGAGAGAGCAAAGATTGCTATAATTTCTTAATAGCCCCTAATCTCCTGCAGCCAAGCTCTGATGGAAATCAGATGTCTACTGATATATCTGCCAACGGTCTTCACTTTGGGAAAGTTTCTCTTTCTCCCAGAACTGAAGGAGGCCTGCCAGAAATTGCTGCTTTGGGAAAGCTTCACTCAGTAGCTACAACAACAAATTACCATTTTAATTTTTTTTTTCTAAAAAAGACTTAACTTCCATAAGACATCCATCTTCCACACAAGTATTTTTTTTTTCTCCCAGAATTATCTGTTACCATTTTTATGAGTTTTAACATTTTTTTAAACAAAAGCTTCCTTCTTCTCAACGGTGACAGAAACTGAGGTAATGTACATTTAACACGAGAAAAAATCTCTTCTATGGGAGAGAAGGGTCCAAAAGCGGACGGTCAACAGAAGGGGGAAACAGCCATGGACAGGGACAAAGAATGGGAAAACATCTTACCACCATCGCATACACCCAGCATCCCCGACATTTCCCCCCGATCCCCTCCTCCCACCCCTGAAATCAGAAATAAAAATTAAATGAAACTGAACCAAAACAAGGTCTATATGGTGTTCTTAAACCTTATCTACATTATTGCACAAAAGATCAAGGACAGTTGGGACCTAAGGCAAAAAGGAGAAGTTGCGGCTAATATCTAAAGTCTGTGCATTGCCTATTTCTAAAAATAATAATAATAATTCTAGCGTTGGCTCTAACTCTAGCCTCCAACCCATTCCTTTGAGGTGGAGGCTCAAAGCCAAGGGAGAGGGGAATGAAACAGCTGCACTCTCCCCAAAGTTCTCTGAGACTGTCGTCTTGAGCCATACGGATTGACCAGAGTAGTAGTGGGGAAATGAGAGAGAGGGGCAGAGCCACCAGGTAAGACCCAGGAAGATGCCTCCAACATGGAAAGCTCATCTGGAAGTAGCAGGAAGGGGAAGTTGGGTGGCATCCCTCTTGTTGTCTTCCGAACCTTGTCATGGTCTGGCTGAGAGGACGAGGAGGTGATGGCCACGTTTGGGTTGGACTGTTGTGTATCCAGATTCAATAGATAACTGGGCTTATGTTTGGCAAGGGCACTCGTGGGAACTGCCCGCGTGCCGCAGTTGGCACCAATTTCATCGACGACATACCCTTGCCCTTTACATCTACAATGACTCGCATACAAGGCATTCCCCTCAAATGGGAAAAGTGGGAAAGGGGGTGGAGGATGGGCAGCCCCCTTTGTGTTGTTGTTTTGTAAACTGCTGTTGCTGCGGAAATAGCATTTTAGCCCTTTGTGCAGAAAGAATGGAGCCTCCTCGGAGAGGCTGGCACACACAAGGCATGCCCAGGAGATCACCTGGTTTGGAGGAGGAGAGGCAAGGAGACAAAGGACTGTTTGGGTTTCTCTATCCCAGACATGGGCAAACTTCGGCCCTCCCTTAAGCAGCTGAGGGGGGAAAGGAAGGGGCCTGAGGCTGTTAGGAATGGTGGGAGTTGAAGTCCAAAACAACTGGAGGGCCCAAGTTGGCCCATGCCTGCTCTATCTGGTTCCTCTTGGGACAAGACACAAACGAATAGCTTTGCGAGAAATGTGGCGCAAGGAAAGGATGCTCCTCCTGAAAACAATAGCACGGAAGGGGCAATTGCCAGGGACTCTGAAGAAGCCCTCCCCACAGGTCAAACAGCACAGGGAGGTCAGTATTGGTCTAAGCCCTTGGTGAAAGGAGAGAGTTGTGTAGGTACTAGGAGCTTCCCTCAATGCCAGCCTTGGGGCCCTTGCTAACGAACTGTCAAAAGGAAACCACCTCAAACTCACTTCAAGCGATGATTCACGAGATCTTTGGACACACAACTATAGGCTTATTATTTTCTGCATGGTCTCAGGTTTTCCTTCCTTTCTCCCTTCCATTTTTCCTCCATCAGTCTGGATAGTACCATTCATATCCATCCGCCAATGACTTTCTAAGATATGTTACCACTGGATATCCTGGAAAGTCCTGGCCTGGGCACTGCAGTTTGTAGGCGCTTTTCAGCTGGGAAAGGCTGAAAGCACAAGAAACAAGGCTCTTCTTCCTACATTCGAATGGAACCCAGCTATTTTACCACAAGTAGACCAAAAACCGAAGCTGGTTTGGAAAGTTGTATGAAATGAGCCCTTGGTTTATTTGAAAGTCTCCATTAGGCAACGGGTATTGCTCTACAACTCTTTCTGAAGGCTCTAGTTGTGGTTGCTGTCAGTCTAGTCCAGACATGGGCAAACTTCATCCCTCCAGATGTTCTGGACTTCAACTCCCAAAATTCCTAACAGCCTCAAGCCCCTTCCTTTTCCACCTCAGTTACTTAAGCAGTTGAGGGGGGAAAGGAAAGGGCCTGAGGCTGTTAGAAATTTTGGGAGTTGAATTCCAAAACACCTGGAGGGAGGGCCAAAGTTTGCCCATGCTTGGTCTAGTCCTGGTGTTCAGCAGGACAATCCAGTCTTTGCAGGTGAACTCGCAATGGAAAATGGGCTGAAACCTTTTCTCCAACTCAAAATTGCCCCCGCCAAGGCATACCACCGCATAATGTTGACCGCAGTCAAGTATCCCATTCCATACACAATTGCTTCCTTTTTTGCCCCCATCACTATTAGGCTTGAGCACCCAGCCTTATTGTTATTGTTAGGCCCTAAGAGAAAAGACAGTGTCTCTTTTCCTGAGGGGTGATGGCCACACAAGAGTGGTTGACTTGACAGTTGACGACAACCATGTTGACACAAACGTCCATACACACACATACAATGGCATGCACTCTCTCTCTCTTTCACACACACACAAACACATACACATACTCACACAACACAGGAAACATTTGCTACATCAGTGGCACCAATTGCTTCCCCGGCAGCCCTATGATAACAGTGGAGTCCCCCAAGCATCCCGATTCTGTGCTTTGCTCTCACTCTGAAGCAGAAGGGAAACACCCTCTGCTCCTTGCCAGTCCTCTACGGAAGAGATGTAGCCATATGTTACTTAGAGCTAAATCCTGTGGCTCAGGCTATCTTTCCCATTCAAAATCATGATAAGAAGCAAGTGGGGGAGACAAATGCTAAGAGGTCTCCTCCACTCTGAAGTCATCAGCCCTGGATCTGGCTCTGCAGGGTATTGCCAGGCTTCCGCCTTCTAACCCAATGAGCACAGCATGGGGACTAAAGCCGGTTGATACTGAACAACATGGCTCCACTGGACACTGCTTCTTGCCCTTCTGGGGAGAGTTGTGAGGCTCCTGAAGGCCCATTGCTCAGCACCTTTTCTCTCTTCCCCAGCAGGCAGCACCAGAATTGTGGAGGAGTCCCTTGAAGGATCCAAGGGGCTGCTCTTTCTCATTTCTGCCTGCCACCCACTCCATACCATATCCATATCATTTCTCAGGTAGGGTTCCTATCCCCTCCCCCCTCTAAACAGCTTCAAACCGAGTCTTGATGACGGGCACCAAGGTCAGGTGCCAGCTGGAGAAGCCGTCCCTCTTTCCATAACAAAACGGCAGCGTGAACTCACCAACAGTTCGTTGTTCTCTGTGCAACAGCACTATGCCCCTTCTCTCTCATTCTCTCTCTCTCTCTCTCTCATTCCTCTCCAGCCAACATCCAACTGCCGCTGGTCCCTTCCTTCAGGTCTTGTCTCTCAGTCTTTGTGTGAGCATATAGCTATACCAACAGACAACCTTGAGGATTATTGAGTTAATTGCAAATCATTTTTCCTCTCTTTCTTGTTTCTCCCCCCTCCCCACTACATTTTACCCCCCCCCCTTTTTTTTTTTTTTTTTGCTTCAAAAGATACAGATTCCGGTCCCTTTGGGGATGATTTTTAGAAAACAATTATTCTGCGCGCAGTCCAGGGCAGGAGAGGGCCCTGCAGCATCACTGACGTCTCAGCTGCAGGTTGGGAGGCACTGAGGAAGCCATGTGGCCCTCGCCAGTCAGACGCAGATCTCGATGGCCGTGGCCAGCACCATTTGGCCTTTTCCCTTGTCCGGCCGCCCATCAGTCCTGCCCCCGCTCCCCGGGGAAGGCAGGCCAGGGTCTGAGCCGGACAGACGGGACATGCTGCCCTCCGTGAGGATGGTCCTCTTCAGCGGGGTCGGGGTGCAGGTGCTGGGTGTCTCATGGCGATGAGGCCCTGCAGAGAGCTTGTCCCCAGTGTGCTTACGGGAACGATAGGAGGGCCGGCGGCGAACCTCCGACATCAGGTCGTACTTGATGAAGAAGAAGACCTCCTTCACAGGGCAGCGCTTCTCGGGGTCGAGGGCCAGCAGCCGCTGGAACATGCGCAGTGCATTGTCCGTGAAGCGGCGCCACTGGGAGGGCAGCCCAGCCAGGCGCCCCTTCTGCCACCTCACGAACTCCTCGAAGAAGGTGTCCGAGGCTGAGGCCGCCTCCCAGGGGAAGTTGCCCGTCAGCACACAGAAGATGAGTACCCCGAAGGCCCACACATCTATGCTTGTGTCCACGGTGAAGCCCTCGGCCCGCCCAGCCTGGCACACCTCAGGGGCTGTATAAGGGATGGTCCCGCTGATGCGCTTTACACGGCAGCCCACTTTGCGTGTCATGCCGAAATCGGCCAGCTTGACTCGCCGACAGTCACGGTCAAAGAGGAGCACGTTTTCTGGCTTGATGTCCCGATGCACGAGGTTTTTACTGTGCATATAATCAAGTGCCAGGCCCAGCTGCTGCACGCAGCGCTTCACCATGTCCTCCGGAAGCCCCACCTGCAGACAGAAGGGGATAGGTCCTGTGAACGAGGAATCAATGATTGTGGGACCCAACATGTCTTCCCAACAAAGACTCTTTGGCCAATCTTTCCCCAATATGGCTGTCAAGTAAAACTACAGAAGTATGAGGTCATCATGAGGTCATACTTGTCTCCTTCGGGAGAGATAACACAGGGTATAAATAAACATAATGAACATAATGAACATAATAATAATAATAATAATAATAATAATAATAATAATAATAGCTCAACAAATTATGGCTGTAACCGTTTACCATTTGGGCAGTCTACTTCAAGGAGGCGACGTTTTGTCATCAGTGGCCTCATCAGAGCAGCCACAAAATGGCATGCTGGCCAGAGTAATAAGGAGTAGACCTAGTTAGTTACCTGTGGAGGGATGATGTCAAAGAGGTCTCCACCGGGCGCATATTCCTGGGCAAAGACATAGCAGTCTTCTGTCTCAAAGACCACATCAAAGACCTTGATGATGAAGGGACTTGAAGACAGTGTATTGGTAATGCTGAACTCTCTCAGAAAGTTCTTCAATTTGGTCTTATTCTTGTTGACAAACTTCAGGGCCATCTTGGTACCTGGAAGAGAAAGGATATGGAGGAAGTCACCTTTGTTTTGCTTGTGAAAGCAATCATCAGTCAGATAACAACCAGAAAAGAGAACTTTTGAAATGGTCAAAGATTTCTATCAGGACAATAGACAATATTGTAGCACATCACCTACAACTTGCAGCAATAATGGGAATTTCGACCTCTCAGATATTTTGAACATCCCAAAGCCCCAGACAGAATATGCCAGAAATGGGCAAACTTTGTCCCTCCAGGTGTTCTGGGCTTCAACTTCCACAATTCCTAACAGTGGCTGTTAGGAATTGTAGAAGTCCAAACCACCTGGAGAGAGAGCCAAAGTTTGCCCATTCCTGGCAATGTTTACAAATCATAATGATTGCACCTCAGCCGGAATTCACCTTGCACTCAACACCAACCAGGAATCCAAAAGTAATAATAAAACATTCCACAGATGTCATTCCACAGATATATAAACCCTTTTTCCTAGTTCCAACAGACCTCACTACCTCTGAGGATGCTTGCCATAGATGCAGGCGAAACACCAGGAGAAAATGCCTCTAGAACATGGCCATATAGCCCGAAAAAACCTACAACAACCCAGTGATTCCGGCCATGAAACCCATCGACAATACAATAATAAAACAGTTTATTGAGAAAAGCAAATATGAAAAAGTCAAATCACCATAGGAAATAAGAAAGACAATATTCAACAAATAATGGGGGGAGGGGGGAGCATTCCAAAGGCAGTAACCCAAACAGTCCAATTCTGTTCAATAAAACAAGGTACAGAAAAACCAAGCATCAAAACATGAGAGTAAATCCAAAACTAAGAATACAATAAGTTCTTAAAAACATGCATCCATGAACCCCCAAGATCCTAGACTGAAACATGAATGTGAAACAAGACTCAAGATCCTCACTGTAACAGCAGTGTTGCCTGATCTGATTCTAAAGGATGTGATGGCGTGAGTGGCGCCACCTATATGTAGAACTTTAATTTGCAAAGGTTTGAACTGTGTAACATGCCCCAACTTGCCTGTTTACCCTGTAAATGTATAGTTGGATTGATCGGTTTTATAGCTGTCAATCAATGTTGTTTGCACCAGTTGAATTGCTCCCTTAGCTCAATTGTTTGGCCCCACCTCTTCCTAGAAGAGGAGGGCAGTGTTTCCTTCTTCATTTACCATCAGACAGCTTTATAGAAGGATGTGAGAAAGACTTGGCTCTAAAGCCCTTGTTTAAGCTATCTCCCATCACCAATTCTCAGGTTTTTACCCTTGAGACTCACACTTCATGCCCAGATCTTCCTGGACGACGTTGAGGAGTCTCAACGCCTTCAAACCAGTCTTTTAGCACCAGAGGAAGACTTTGTGCCTTCAAATATAGGCCATCTGGATTGGGGTTGTGTATTGCTCAGGCATTCACAGCCATTGAGAAAGAGGGAACTTGGAAAGCTTCTCAGTTGCAAAACTCCTTGGACCAAAGACTTCAGAGACTGTAACGTATGTTTTCTTTATCCCTGTTAAAACATCCAGTTTTTGCCTAAGAAAGATAATTCACTGTGAACAATAAATACCATTTCGAGTTATCTGTTGTGTCTTGGTCCTTGGGAGTTCCAGTTTCCTAAAGGAGGGCAAGAAGCAATCCCCTGAGGAGAGATATCACGTCCATGTTTCTTTCACTAAGATCTATAGACCCCAGGCGTGACGGCACAAAGGAAACAATTCTCTGATTTAAGAACCACAAGCCATGAAGTCATGGCTGTGACCTTTACTCCCTTGCTTGTGAGATTTCTCACCCTGTTGTTTCTCAGGATTCGTTGTGAACTCCGTAATCTGGTTCCTTCCTCCCTAAGATTGAGCCTGACATTCCTACTGACTGCAGGTATGTTTTCAGGTAAACTTTCTCACCCCTCCAACTCCTTATCCTTATCTAGGGTTGTTAAGGAATGACTAGGCGAAAGGTCTTCACCAGCCACTGAATCTCCCTGTCTGCTCGACTCTGAGGCAGTTTCATTTTCAAGCCCATTTTCCCGACAGAATCCTGATCTAAAATCCCCTCATTTCCTTCATTGAAAGATCCATCAGCCCTCCCAGGTTCTGAAAAAACAATCTCCTCGTTGGGTTGTTGTAGGTTTTTCAGGCTGTATTGCCATGTTCTAGAAGTATTCTCTTCTGACGTTTTGCCTGCATCTGTGGCAAGCATCCTCAGAGGTTGTGAGGTTTGTAGAGCAACCCTTGTACTCTGGCTGAAGTACAAGGGTTGCTGTACAAAGCTTCTGGAGGATCATAGGGAATTCTTCCATGTACTAGAAGTGTTCCTTTTCACACTTGCAGCGTAATTGAAACAACTGTCTTGATGGTCGAAGGCTCCTTCTATACTGCCATATACAATCCAGATTATCTATTTTGAACTGAGTATATGGCAGTGTAGACTCATATAACTCAGTTCAAAGCAGATAACGTGCATTATTTGTTTTAAAAATCTGGATTATATGGCAGTACAGAAGAGGCCTGGGTTTCATGGCCACCATGGGATTTGAGATAGCCTCGTCCTAAATTTTCTAGGGACTGCGGTGGCACATTGAGTTAAACCCTTATGTTGCTGAACTGCTGATGAGGTGTGCTCCCGCTGTTAGCCCCAGTTTTTGCCAACCTAGCTGTTCGGAAACATACAAATGTGAGAAGATCAATAGGTACCGCCTCGGCAGGAAAATGCAAAAGACACTCCATGTAGTCATGCTGGCCACATGACCAGGAGGTGTATACAGACAACGCAGGCTCCTCAGCTTGGAAATAGAGATGAGCACCTCCCCTAGAGCCAAAAATGAGCACTGCCTCCAGAGCTGGAAATAAAAGGAGAAGACTTTGCCTTTGTCTGTGTATTTGTGTCTCATTGTATTTCACTGTAACAAGGCATCAAATGTTTGCCTGTGTCTGTTTATATGCTGTAATCTGCTCTGAGGCCCCTAGGGAATAAATATTAGATACTGGTAAAGAATTTACTAACAATAAATCCATTAGCTTTACCTTCTTTCTTTCTTTCCCAACTTTTATACCTTCCCTCCTTGAAATAACACTTTCAAACCAGGAACAGAACATAGAATCATAGAGTTGGAAGAGACCTCATGGTCCATCCAGTCCAATCCCCTGCCAAGAAGCAGGAAAACTGCATTCAAAGCACCCCTGACAGATGGTCATCCAGACCCATGTTTCAAATGTGGTTCCTTCACTGTGTCATTTGTTAGCTCACCTGTGCTCTTGTGGGAGACAAGGTCCACCTTGCCATAGGTCCCTTTTCCCAGCTCACGGATGAGGTCATAATGTTTGTTGATGTCCGTACCGGAGAGTGTGCGGATGGCCAGCGACTGCATGTCTTCCGTGATGAGGGGCACTCCGCAGCAGGCCAGCTTGCGGGAAGGCTCCTGCTCAATGGAGCCAGCACTCATTGTCACACTGAGAAAGAGACACAGAGAAAGAAAGATGGGTTGTTGGTAATCCAATCTTCTGGTAACCTACATCGGGGATGTATGCGCGTCTAGCCTGAGGAAAAAGAAATGTAATTGGTAAACCATTTCAGATATGAAATCTGAAATGCTGTTGCTTGTACAAGTTCATTTACAATTTGTGTTGTCGAAGGCTTTCATGGCTGGAATCACTAGGTGACCATCTTCCCATAGCATTCTCTTCTGACATTTCTCCTGCATCTATGGCTAGTGGCATCTTCAGAGGTTTGCTACATTGTTCATGTTTTATATGATTATGTACTTTGTTATATTTTATGTGTGTTGTACTTCCGAGTGCTTTTGTGAGCTGCCTAAAGTTCCTTCAGAAAGATGATGGCAGGATATAAATAAAGTATTGTTGTTTGGAAATGAGATATGTGGAGTGTATATATACTTGTGAAATAATGTACAAGGTGGGGGAAGGAATTAACCCCTGTCTGTTTGAAGCAAGTGTGAATGCTGCAATACAACAAGCCTGATTAGCATTGACTAGCCTTGCAGCTACAAAGTCAACCAGTGAGAGTATTTGTTGGCATCCTCTGTTTCAGAGGTGTTAACTGGCACTTGGTTGTTTGCTGTCTGGGGTCCCCCTGTTTCTGAGTGGTGTTCTTTATTTACTGTCTTGATTCTGAAAGGCACTGCAGACCAATCCAACCAGAGAAGTCAGCCATAGCAGAGCACTTGAGGAACCAACCTGGACGCAGAATATTATTTGAGAACGCAAAAATGCTGGACCACTCTGACAATAACCACAATGTCAGACTAGACAGAGAAGCCATTGAAAACCACAACAATCATGTGGACAATTTTAACCCAAAGAACAAACCATGAAAATGAACAAAATCTGGTTACCAGTATTAAAGACTCCAGAATCAAGAAAATAAATAAAGAACACCACTCAGAAACTCCAGGGGAACTCCAGACAGCAAACAACAAGGTGCCAGTTAACACTTCACAAACAAAGGATGCCTCCACAGCCAGGTTACCTCTATGCAAATACCCTCACTGATTGCAAGGCTACTCAATGCTAATCAAGGTTGCCCATTGCAACATTAACACTTGCTTCTGACAGACAAGGGTTCTCTCTCCCACCCTGGACATCATTCCAGAGATATATATAGACTCCACTTACCTCACTAGCAACCAAACCTCAGAAGATGCCATTAGCAACAGATGCTGGCAAAACATCAGGAGAGAATGCTACGGGAACACGGCTATACAACCCGGAAAATTCACAGCAATTCATTTGCCACTCAAATGTGATTGTGCAATTACTGCTACATATGCCTGGATTCAACCATTCCTCAATGTCAGAGGGAGCAGAAACGATCCACTGGTGGACCCCTTGGAATTGACTGCCCTGTTCCATGCAGACACATTGTTTTTGCTAAAGCCAATGCAGAAACACTGTTATACACAGTTTTGCAGAATCGGAAAGCGTGCTAGGTGTTTGTGCATGCTCTCTCTCGCTCCCCAAAGGCTTCCTTAATTATATCCCTGCTCAAGGTGCAAAAGCTCCATCCATCTCCCTGCTTTGGGCATGACAGTTCCAGGCCATGGTGGCCACAGGTGCACAAGACCTGCATGGCATTGCAGTATCATCTTCTTCTCTCATGCTGGCTCCTTTGGAGTTCCATGACACTCTGCAAAATCCAACAAATAAGCTTCCTTTGGCTGGAAAAAAAATTCTTAAAGAATGCAAAGGGATTGCAATATATTGGATGAAAAGGCATTGCAGGTATGTGATGTTACTTTTGGTTGGTCCCAAATAATGACCATGGGAGTGGCCTCTGGAGCGTTGGAAGAGCCCAGTTCCCACCCTACAAGCAAAAGCAGAATCAGTGGGGTGGCAAGTATGGAGTCTTGTCTACACTGCCATTTAATGGAGATCGAAACTGGATGATACAGTCAGGGAAGATTAATGTGATGCAGGTTAACTGCACTGAACTGTCAATGGGGCCCGAGAAAGGGTGTTGCCCAGCGCTGCCTGCCTCTACGCTGAAGCAGTTGAGAAATCTGCTTCTCAAGAACTAAGCGCCTTTGTTCCAGTTTGGTGCATGAGCTGCGTCTCACGTGAATGCATCAAGACCCTTGCCATTTGGCTGCTTCCTACCTGGACCCTTGTCCCACTCCACAAATTGCCCAGAAAGGAAGCCCAGGACTCTGTAGATCCTTCAGTGAATTCATTCTGTGCCCCCTCTTCTGCCGTTTCAGACTAAAAATTGCTGTGCTTCACTGCTTCTCATTGACTAAAATGATATTCCGCCCCCTCCTTCCTCGCTCCAAGACTGTGTATTTATAGGCAGGTGCTATATCTCCTTCTGGTTGCAGCTCAAAGGCTGCCTTCTTTCTCCAAGCTCACATTTGCTCTTAGGGAGCGGGCGGGGGGGGGGGGGGGCTCAGCTGTAGGGTGCATCACTTGGCTTGCCAAAGGATCCGGGTTTCACCCCCATCACTCCAGGAAACACACACACAAAGAGATAGCAAGGGAGGATACTATTTGTTCTTCAAAAAGTTTTAGTCAAGAGTGACCCCCCTATAAAAGTTTATAATCATGGACCTTATAGTTTTGTCAAGGACACCAGGCTGGAATGATATAATAAGAGTTAAGTCTTGACCAATTTGCAAAGGGACCATCAACAACAACCAGAATCCCTTCCCATGTTAAATCTGTGTACATTTGACCAAGCTTTTATATTCTATATTTTATATATTTATAGCAGGTATGCATAGGTAACATGGGTACTGGGACCCATGGTGCAAAAGGCATTTGACCTTTGCTCTGCCTAAGCTAACAGCTTGAGCCATGAGTCCCCATGGGGAGATAGGGCGAGATAGAAATAAAGTGTTATTAAATAAAGTTTTATTGCCTCAGGACAGCATGCATGCTCCATCAATGTTTAACATTTACACAAATGACCAGCCACTGCCAGAAGGGACAGAGAGTTTAATCTATGCTGACGATCATGCCATCACCGCTCAAGTAGGGAGTTTTGAAATGGTTGAACAGAAGTTCTCTGAAGCTTTAGGCACTTTTACTGCCTATTACGTGGGAATCAGCAAATTCCTAATCCAACTAAAATGCAGACATGTGCTTTTCATCTAAAGAACAGACAAGCATCTTGAGCTCTGAGGATTACCTCGGAAGGAATCCCATTGGAGCATTGCAACCTGGGAGTCACTCTGGACTGTGCTCTGACCTACAAAAAGCACTGTTTAACTATCAAGCAAAAGGTGGGTGCTAGAAATAATATCATACAAAAGCTGTCCTTGCCTTCCTGGGACTGGCACAACCTGGGGATCACAACCAGACACAGTGAAGACATCTGCCCTTGCACTTTGCTACTCTGCTGCTGAATACGCATGCCCAGTGTAGAATACATCTCACCATGTTAAAACAGGGGATGTGGCTCTTAATGAGACATGTCGCATTATCACAAGATGTCTACGGTCAACACCACTGGACAAACTATACTGTTTAGCCAGTATTGCACCACCTGCTATCCATCAGGAAGTAGCAGTCATCAATGAACAGACCAAGGCAATGATATCTCTGACCCATCCTCTGTTCGGATATCAGCCAGCACGTAAACAACTTAAATCAAGAAATAGCTTCCTACAGAGATACTCTAAGGAACACCTGAGCAAGTGAGAGTTCAAAAGTGGCAAGCCAAGACCCAAAACTTCCATCAGTGGCTGAGACCAGATGAGAAACTCCTCCCCGAGCACATGGAAGACAGGGCAACTTGGAAGGTGATAAACAGACTGCACTCTGGCACCATGAGACGCACAACCAATCTTAAGAAATGGGGCTACAAAGTGGAGTCCAAAACATGCCAGTGCAGAAAAGAGCAAACCACAGACCACTTACTACAATGCAACCTGAGCCCCACCACATGCACGATGGAGGCACTCCAAGTGGCCAGCTTCTGGTCAAAGGAAATTTAGTATGCAGACTTTTTAACTTTGTTTGTGGTTTTTCTATATGTTATAACTGTATTCACCATTCGCTTCTGAAATGATAAATAAACAAACCTTATAGTAGGACTGGACCAGTTCCATGCGCAAAGCTTTCTTCAGCATTGTGCATGTGGTCTTCATTCCTTGTTCACTGATATGATGCCATAAAGCAGGGAAGCCCCGGTCTCCAAGCAAGTGGTAAAACCTGGTTATAATTTATTCCCCTCGCATTGGGAAGCCAAATGATCACACCGCTGCTCCCCTGAGCCCTGCAGAAATGGGTTTATGGGCTCGGCTGATAAGTAATTGGCAACTCATTAGTAACTCATTGAGAATGCCTGGCTGCCATGTCAAAAGGCTGTTGTTACCCGAGGCTCTGAGCAGGTGAATTTGCACATCATCTGCTAAGCCCAGCAAATGAAGAAGAAGATGATGATGAAGAAGAAATTATGATGCAGGGAACAACCAGCTCGTCATTAAATGGCATAAAACAGCACAAAAGCAGCTTAGCAGTTGCTAAAGCAGAAATCAATGCATTTAGCAGATAAGAGGATGGGAGAAGGGGGGAAATGTACACACAATGGGCTCCAGGCGTACATCTCCATTTCCACACTTTAACAGACAATTGAAATGTGCAGGAAATAATACCCAGTCCGGTTGTTTCCCGGGCTGTGTCACTTCAAAATGCGGTTCGTTGGAGAAGAAGGAGCTTGTAGCAGCAGAGCTTCATGCACTGGTCATAAGCTCAACAGTTAAACCATGAATTGGCTTGTAATAAGAGAAAACATTTTGCTCATTATTAAGAATAAGGCATCTTCCATCGTCTAGAGTCCTCTCAGGCTTCACCTACACTGCAATAGGATCCGGTTTCTGGCAGTGTAGACTCATATAATCCATTTTAAAGCTGATAATATGAATTCAGAAACTAGATTATATGGCAGTGGAAATCCAGCCACAGAAGCATCCTTGGCACTCTCCACTTTTACCCAG